CAAAAGGAGCCACTGGAGTGGAAAAGGAGACCACCGCAGGAACCCCCGAAGATGAAACCACCACCACCCCCGAGGCCGGCCACGAGGGCCGGGCGAGTCCCGCGGACCCCGCGGCGCTACCTCGTGGGGGCAGCCCAGGTGAGGTGCTCCAGTCAACCCGGGACAGGCACCTCGGGGGGCTATGTGATGCCACAGCAGCAGAGCCGCTCTGTCGGCGCCACTCCTGAGATGCCCCCACAACAATGCAGCCTGGCCGACGCTGTTTCCCCCTCGCCACCCCCCACATGGACACACACACCCCCACGTAGGACCTCGTGGGGAAGTCACCTGGCCTCCAGATTTTCACCCTGGAGCCCTCCTCATGGGAACATCCTCCACGGTTTCCTGGGGCCAGGGAATTGGCCGACTTCCCCCAGGTTAAATTGCACTGCGGCACCGTGAATCAATGTGAAATTACATGGTCACGACGAGTCTACTCAGCCACCACAGTTAAGACACACACAGCACGGCAGGAAGAGGGGGGACGGGGCCACGAACGATGGATTAGAGCACACAGGAGGCAGATTCAGCCGGGTAGGCGCCTGATTGGCTAAAGATCTGCGTGAGCACCAGGGTAAGCGTCTGATGGCAGGACAAGTGTGCTCATACGCTCCTGCCAATTTAGCAGCCCAGCGGCGGCCCCTTTGATGGGTAAAGAGGGATGCGGACGGGGCATCGATCCGATTGGCCGCGAAGGCCGTCGGATCAGCCGAGGGGTTCCTTTGATGTAGAGGAGAATTAAATGGGAGAGGAAAGCGCGATGATCAGTTCGTGTGTTCTTCTCAAGCCAGCGATCGGGGCCGTCGACTTTCCAGCCACTCGAACGTCCGTGTGACGAGTCGCAGTGGCAGCGAGGACTGGACCGCAGGAGCTCCGTGCGGGTCAAATCGTGAGTACGAGAGAGCAATTCGAAAGAGGTGGGGTGGATTGGGTTTAGACTGGCGAGTGACAGTGTAGTTCCCTCACCAATTTTAGCTCTGGGTCACCTCGTGGTTAATCCAAGTCACACCCAGAATAAATCGTTAGCGAGCAATAACCGTCTCGTGTGGTTTCTGCGAGTGTGGGGAGCGCATGGTGGCATGAGTCCGCTCGTCGTAACACGGAAATTTGCGCGCGAATAACTATATCTAGGGGGTCTTGCAGCGGAAGGTTTTAGGGAGGGACGTTTAGTTGGGTCGATTAGGGAGGTCGAACTTGTGATGATCTTGTTGGTTTTTATCGCTAGGCTATTAGTAGGGTCATTTTTAATTTTTGAGTAACTTCCATCGTTGAGCAGCTTCTGGATTTTGCTGTTGTATGAATCTTTATCCATAATTACAGTAGCGTTGCCTTTATCGGCTGAGAGGATGACTGTCACTTCTGTTTTTTAAATTCGCGAGTTCAGAGCGTTCGTTTTTGCTGTTGCTAATGGGTTTCTTACCGAATAGAACCAAAGAGCTTGGTACCATACCACTTTCCGCAGTTTTGACTCTGCAAGTGACTCCAACTACATTTTGAGCAGCGTTCACTACACTCACGTCGCGGTTTGGAATTCTTGCGTACATAATTTACTGCTACCATGTGCTGTTAGCTACTGGAAGCCAAAGGCGGTTGGTGAGGCTCTGATCCCGTAGAAAACATATCACATTGGTCGTGTGTGATTGACCCATTTCGCATTGAATCACTTCTGAATGACTCTAGGTCTAATACTTTTGTTGAGAAGTTGCTGGTGACGACTCGGAGACGACGTGAAGGTTAAGGGCTTGCGCCTTTGGTTTATTAAAGATATTCAAATAACACAAGGGTGTAACAACTTCCAGGGGTTAGGGGTCCTACACTGAGTCCTGCCACACGACCCTACTCTGTCTGGTCTTAGCCCGGCTAGCTCCGGTCTCTCTCTAACGTGGCGGATCGGGGACTCTGCCAGCTCCATCGACCGGAGAGAAAAGCACCTCTAACGGCTAACATCGGCTTCTCCTCAGACTCACCACTCGATCCCTCTACCCCTGGTTCCCTCTTCACCCTTCTACCATTACCACAGTGACCCCGCTTACGTCACGGAGTCCTCTCCAAATACTCGAGACGTGACGTCATCGAGCCGCCCAGCGCACATGACGTCAAGTTCCATGACGTCACCGCACTGGACGGCACACGTGACATCACATCCCAATTTTACTCCTCTACACTTTCATAACTACTTGGTTCATGCTTAACCAAGTTTTGTGGTATACCATAGTTGATACCACTGACTGTTGTATTTTAAAAACCCTAGTCAGCTCTCAATTATTAACCCTTGGGTGGATTTTGCTGTCCAAGGGAGGTTTGTGACCCCTGCTGTTTTCATCTTGTTTGTTTTATTGTGGGTTGTTTCCTTTAAGGCGGCCTTCTCTTGAAGTCAACTGGGGATTTCCCCCAGAATCTCATTAGCCCCTCGTTGGGTTTGCCGGTTTTTTTATATTACATTTTATGACTTCCCAAACAGGCTTGTGAGTAATTATCCTCCAGCTGTATTTTGTGTGGCAAGGCAGGAGGCAGTGGGGGGGACTCACCCTTTCCATGCCCCAGCACTACATCCCGATCAAAATTATTACAAAAAATTGGCAGAATCACTCGTAATGTTTTTTGGGAAAAGGCATATAGGCAACAAAAAAGGTGTTGAGATGTTAAAACACCAAACAAATCTTTTACAAGGAATGTCTGCATTAACCACAATACTTGTGGTCAGAATGCAAACAAAAAACACTGATAATATATTCATTGTCTTTGAAACTGATTGGTCCACACCAGAGACAGCTTTCTTTTGAGCCTAGTATCAAACCGTGTTAGACCAGGGGACGCTAAAGGGCGTGCTCTTCGAGTGTTTGTGATGAGATATGAAACAAAATTCCGAGTTGCTGAGGCGTATAAGCAAGCAACATATACATGCTAACATAACAGTGAATGCTTGGGAGCTTATTGGCTCTGGCTCCTAGTTAGAGATCTACCCAACCCACAGGTCTACAAATACTGACCGCTCTTACTCTGCAGGTTGAACCTAGGGAACGGAGTGTTCAACTTCAAGTTATTTTCATTAAAGGCCTGTGACAAAGGTGAATCTATTGGAGCTTCATTGTCTCAAGCTTACACATCTACTGGGTCTCCATTTGACTTTGTATTTTCTAAAAAGTCCACCCACACCTCCACTTCCACAAACTGCTGGGAGTTGCCTCGCTCTGCCTCACAGTCAGAATTCAGCTCCTGCTTCACGTTGCTTCCATCGATGTGAAGGTCCAATTTTGGAGTTGAATCTTCATCTTCACATTTCACTTTCACTTCTTCGCTCTTCACTGTCACCTCTTCAAATTTCACCTTAAGACATTTCATAGTGTCCAAGTTGGAATTCACTTCTGGTTCTTTTTTCAGGAGGGATGGGCTCATAGCAGCACTTTGACTTTCACAAGTCGATTTCAGACTACACTCCTTGAGGATCTTCTGATGCCTGTGTGTTCTCTGGTGTCGATGCAGAACTGATGACTGTGCAAATGCCTTCTCACAGACACTGCACTTGAAGGGTTTCTCTCCTGTGTGTGTTCCCTGGTGTATTTTAAGATTTGATGAATTTGAAAATGCCTTCCCACACACACTGCACTTGCAAGGTTTCACTCCCATGTGTGTTCTCTGGTGCCGTTTAAGAGGAGATGAACCTGAAAATACCTTCCCACACAAACTGCACTTAAAAAGTTTCTCTCCCGTGTGTGTTCTCTGGTGGATCAGAAAACCTGTTGACCATGCAAATACCTTCTCACAGACAGTGCACTTGAAGGGTTTCTCTCCTGTGTGTGTTCTCTGGTGGATCTGAAGACCTGATGACTGTGCAAATGTCTTCTCACAGACAGTGCACTTGAAGGGTTTCTCTCCTGTGTGTTTTCTCTGGTGGATCTGAAGACCTGATGACCATGCAAATGACTTCCCACACACACTGCACTTGAAAGGGTTCTCTCCTGTGTGCGTTCTCTGGTGTTTTTTAAGATCTGATGTTTGTGTAAACGCCTTCTCACACAGAGTGCACCTGAAGGGTTTCTCTCCTGTGTGCCTTCTCTGGTGTTTTTTAAGATCTGATGACCATGTAAACGCCTTCTCACACAGAGTGCACCTGAAGGGTTTCTCTCCTGTGTGCGTTCTATGGTGTTTTTTAAGAAGTGATGACTCTGTAAATGCCTTCTCACACATAGTGCACCTGAAGGGTTTCTCTCCTGTGTGTGATCTCTGGTGTCTCTGAAGAACTGCTGACTTTGCAAATGCCTTCTCACACACAATGCACTTGAAGGGTTTCTCTCCCGTGTGTGTTCTCTGGTGGTCGTGAAGAAACGATGGCCGTGCAAATGCGCTCCCACATACAGTGCACTTGAAAGGTTTAGCTCCTGTGTGTGTTCTCTGGTGGCTCCTAAGATGTGATGACTGTGCAAATGCTTTCTCACACACACTGCACTTGAACGGTTTCTCTCCTGTGTGTGCTCTCTGGTGGCTCTGAAGAACTGATGGCTTGGCAAATGCCTTCTCACAGACAGTGCACTTGAAAAGTTTATTTTCTGTGTGTGTTCTCTGGTGTTTTTTAAGATGTGATGAATCTGCAAAGGGCTTCCCGCACAGAGTGCACCTGAAGGGTTGCTCTCCTGTGTGTGTTCTCTGGTGCATTTTGAAACAAAATTAACTTGAAAATGTCTTCTCACACAAACTGCACTTGAAATGTTTCTCTCCCGTGTGTGTTCTCTGGTGGATCTTAAGATCAGATTAACTTGAAAATGCCTTCCCACACACACTGCACTTGAAGGGGTTCTCTCCTGTGTGTATTCTCTGGTGTTTTTTAAGCGCAGATGAATCTGAAAATCCCTTCTCAGACACAGTGCACTTGAAGGGTTTTTCTCCTGTTTGAGTTTTCTGGTGCCGTGTCACACTTCCAGTACAATCCATGCTGTTTGCATCTTGGTTCCATTGTCTTTTGTACCGGGCTGCGCTGAGTGCCTTTGCTCCATCAGACCAATTTTGCTGATGAAGCGTCAGAAGAAGTGTCAGCTGCAGACAGAAAAAATATTCACACCATCTACGTCAGTATCGAGGCACAGAGGAATAAATATATAGACATAATCACACATGACTTACACGTCTATATTTATTCATATATTCAAGATATTCCCCAATCCATCACACGGGCTGTTAAGGCACACAATGAGAGGGCAAATGGTTATAAATATGCCTGGAGGCCCTAGTATCTTCAAAATAAATATTAATCCAAAACACCAAGCACACAATTTCGGCTGCCTGGCTACAAAAGCAATATTTATAAAAGCAAAATTCAGCTAACATAGCAAAGGCTGTTGTAAATAATACTATTTGTATTATGCAGAAATGCATAAATTAATATTCAATCCCAACTTAGAGGTGTGAAGCCAGGCTCAGATTTGTTTGAATGCTTGGATGAACAGATCTTACTTCAGCATCATATATGCTGTGTTAATTTCCTGTTTACATTCTTACAAAAAGTTCCAGAGGATACTCAAATAAGCTATTGTTTTGATTTAACCTCCATGTTCAATAGCTAATATACTTTACTGCAAATACAAACTTGACACTGTCACACACTGGCATGGTACAAAGGTGGTGGTGTGTCTAGAACCATACCTGGCCACCTTCATCTGCTCAGTATTCATGCTTCCTCACTTCACCATGTAATTAATTTAAAATCAATCAACATAGCAGAGACCCACAATAAGTCCAGCTTTCACTTATCAATCATGTTTGCTGTCGGCGATAATCAAACTAAATGTTGAGTTCATAATGCAGTGAAATAACTGCACCACAGCTCCCTACAAAGATAAACTCTTAAAGATATACATTTCACATGGATCATTGCATCTTACCTATACAAGTCATTTTTGTCTGTTTCTCTGTCCGTCTGTCTGTATACGAAACTTGTGACGGATTTGACTCGTGAACCGTGGAGTTTACGTTTAAAACAATTACCCGGGTACCACGAGATAAGCCCGGTGGTGAGCCAGCGCTGATCGTATTTTGCGTCCGTCAACTTTAAAGTAGTTAAATTAACAATTTAGTATAATAGGTTTTCCCATTTTTTTCTGGCAACAAAACGGGTGTTAAGATGTTAAAACACCAAACTGAAACCTTTTGCAAGGAATTATGTCTGCATTAACCACATATACTTGTGGTCAAAATGCAACAAAAAAAATGCTCTGATAGTACAGTATATGCATTGTCCTTGAAACTGATTGGTCCACACCAGAGACAGCTTTCTTTCGAGCCTCGTCTCAAACAGTGTTAGACCAGCGGACGCCAAAAGGCGAAGGAGGTCCCATGATATAACAATTTAGTACTATTAATTATTAAATTACTATGCTGAGCGCGCGCCAAAGCACACATCTGCGCATGCGCGAGGCCGGGACCCCTGCATGGGACTAGGCCTTACCACGGCACTGATAAGTACTATATTCTTGGTTCTTTTGGCAAAGTCATGTAGAGAGAAAAATATTGATAAAAAAGACTAAGTAAATAAAAATCGAAATAGTCAAAATAATCTTAAAAAACACTAATGTAGATAGGCCTGGTTCTTAGTCGGAGTTAAGTGTACTAGCAGTCTATAATGCAGACTATGTTTAGGGCCAGCCTAGCTCTAATATCAGAGATAATAAGATTGCTCCAATTTTCAACTTGAGAATTTAGACAAGACTCTCTTAAATCACAATTAACATTAACAGATAAAATGTCCACATCTGATTGGGACCATGTAGATAACATGACAGTTTCTTCAGCTACTTCAATGTCAACTAAATGTAAAGTTAACATGATTGCTAAATTCAACCTCTTGTCAAAAAAGAAGCCCAAGCCACACGTTAAAAAGTCAGATGTTAACAATATTTTTTTCAATCAGAGTAACAGCCCAATTTCCAACAGCCTAAAATCAGTACTAGCTGAAGGGTTGAATTTCACAGTCTCCCCTAAACACATCCCAGTGTGTGATATCATTGCCCAGGTCGACATAGCCCTCAAAGGTTTGGGATACATTCGGGAAGATGTTGCAAGATCTGAAATCGCTGCTATCCTCAAAAACGCTAAGAAACCCGTTAGCAACATCAGCAACGACGAGCGTTTTGAACTCACTCAAATAAAAAAAGAGATGACATTGTCATCCTCTCAGCCGACAAAGGCAATGCCACTGTCATCATGGATAACGCCACTTACAACAACAAAATTCAGGACCTTCTTAATGATGGCAGCTATACCAAAATCAAGAGATCCCACCAACCGCCTAACCAAGAAAACCAACAATATCATCACTAATTTGACTTCTCTAATCGAACCGACCAAGCAGCTCTCTCTAAAACCTTCGGCTGCTAGACCACCCAGATTTTATGGCCTTACAAAAATCCACAAAGTAGGTACCCTGCTCCGTCCTATCGTCTTCACCATTAACTCACCCACCTAGAAACTGGCCCAATTTCTGTCTGAGACCCTGCTTCGTTTCATGGGCAAGACCACCTCAGCTGTACTTAACTCAGCTCACTTGGTTTCTCTAATCAAGGACATCTCACTGTCTCCCGATGATGTGCTTGTCAGTTTTGATGTAGACTCCCTGTTCACCAAGGTACCTGTACCTGACATCATTGCAATCATTGAAGACTTGGTCCAACAGTGACTGAATCCAGATGTACCAACTTTGGTAAGGCACTGCCTTACCAACACTTACTTCTATCGATATACAGATAGTATAGTTACTACAACAGCCAGTACACACTGCTATAGAGTTAAATATAGCTAATAATACAGCCAGTACATATTGCTAAAGTTAGTATAGCTACTACCACAGCCAGCACATACTGTAGTGATAGTAGCTACTACAGACAATACATACTACTGTAGTGATAGTAGCGACTACTACAGCCAATACATACTACTGTAGTGATAGTAGCTACTACTGCAGCCAGTACATACCACTGTAGTCATAGTAGCTACTATTATAGCCAGTACATACCACTGTAGTAATAGTAGCTACTACTAAAGCCAGTACATACTACTGTAGTGATAGTAGCTACTACTACAGCCAGTACATACCACTGTAGTGATAGTAGCTACTACTATAGCCAGTACATGCCACTGTAGTGATAGTAGCTACTACTATAGCCAGTACATACTACTGTAGTGATAGTAGCTACTACTATAGCCAGTACATACTACTGTAGTGATAGTAGCTACTACTATAGCCAGTACATACTACTGTAGTGATAGTAGCTACTACTATAGCCAGTACATACTACGTAGTGATAGTAGCTACTACTATAGCCAGTACATACTACTGTAGTGATAGTAGCTACTACTACAGCCAGTACATACTACTGTAGTGATAGTAACTACTACTACAGCCAGTACATACTACCGTAGTGATAGCTACTATAGCCAGTACATACTACTGTAGTGATAGTAACTCCTACTACAACCAGTACATACCACTGTAGTGATAGTAATTACTACTATAGCCAGTACATACTACTGTAGTGATAGTAGCTACTACTATAGCCAGTACATACTGCTGTAGTGACAGTAGCTACTATAGCCAGTACATACTACTGTAGTGACAGCAGCTACTACTATAGCCAGTACATACTATTGTAGTGATAGTAGCTACTACTACAGCCAGTACATACCATTGTAGTGATAGTAGCTACTACGACAGCCAGTACATTCTACTGTAGTGATGGTAGCTACTACTACAGCCAGTACATACTACTGTAGTGATAGTAGCTACTACTACAGCCAATACATACTACTGTAGTGATGGTAGCTACTACTGCAGCCAGTACATACTACTGTAGTGATAGTAACTACTACTATAGCCAGTACATACTACTGCAGTGATAGTAACTACTACTATAGCCAGTACATACTACTGTAGTGATAGTAACTACTACTACAGCCATTACATACTACTGTATTGAAAGTAGCTACTACTACAGCCAGTACATACCACTGTAGTGATAGTAGCTACTACTATATCCAGTACATACTACTGTAGTAATAGTAGCTACTACTACAGCCAATACTTACAACTGTAGTGATAGTAGCTACTACTATAGCCAGTACATACTACTGTAGTGATAGTAGATAGTGCTATCAAGTCGGTATATACTACTATAGAGTTAGTAGATATGACTAAAGTCAGTATTTCCTACTATAGAGTTAATAGCTACTGCTATAGAGTTGATATATACCAAGGCCATAGCCATGGAGTCAACATTGTGGGGGACCAAATCTTCCAGGGGGTCCCAACCCAGAAAAATATCTAAATTTGAAAACTAATTTCCTGCCATATCTTGCCTAAAAATATTAAAAAATCACCAACACATCATGTATCATAGTGTATTGCATTACATTGCTCTGTTTTTACTTTTATACAATTTCTTGTTTCACTGTATGTAATGCATTGCTTTATATGAAGACAAGTCCAGATATTGTGGCCAAGGTTTAGCAAATTGTTCTTTTATTTATATAGCACAGCAATTATTATTACAAATTTTATATTTTTATAGCAATATAAATTATAATTACGGCCTTGATATATACTATTAGAGTCGGTAGATACTACTGCAGTCAATATAAGCTACTTTTAAAGAGTAAGCAGATACTACTTTCGAGTTAATCTTTCCCACTATAGTCGGCAGATACTACTATAGAACCAGTAGATACTAGTCAGTAGATACCACTAGTCAGTAAATACTGCGACAGTCAGTTGATACTACTATACAGTCCATAGATACTACTATGATCAGTAGATACTTTAGAGTAAGTAGATACTACTATAGAGTAAGTAGACACTACTGTCAGTAGATATTACTGTCAGTAGATAGTACTGTCAGTAGATAGTACTGTCAGTAGATAGTACTGTCAGTAGATAGTACTGTCAGTAGATAGTACTGTCAGTAGATAGTACTGTCAGTAGATACTGCAGTCAGTAGATACTGCAGTCAGTAGATACTGCAGTCAGTAGATACTACTATAGAGTCAGTAGATACTACTGTAGAGTCAGTAGATACTCCTTTCAGTAGATACTATAGTCAGTAAATACTACTACAGTCAGTAGATACTCCTGTATAGTAAGTAGATACTACTGTCATTAGATACTATGGTCAGTAAATTCTACTAGTCAGTAGATACTACTATAGTCAGAAGATACTACTGTAGCGTTAGTAGTTACTACTATAGTCAGGGTATACTACTATAGTCGGTAGATAACGTGACAACCCCTACTAGTTGGCTTTGTCGGGTGGTGGTGGGGTTTAACTACACATATTTACGCGATCTAACCTAAACAAACCTGTATTAAGGATGTATATTTGGAGTTTGCGTGTCTGTCTCCTCGTGGTCGCGTGGATTTTCCTCAGGATCCTCAGGGTTTTTTTCCCTGCACATTTAGAGTCAACATCACCACGCGTTTAGAGTATTTGACCGACAGACATTTCCGCACGTTGATAAGCCACTTTGTTGTGGGCAGGTCGCTTCTGAAAACAAGAGCGGTATAGCAGCTCACGTGGGCTTGGCCTTGGTAAGAGAAAAAAAACTAAATATGTAAAAGAAACAAAGTTTCAAAGTAGTGAGCCAGGTGAAGACAAATTAAACTTTAGCAGAGTTAAAGCAAAATGCAATCAGGCGAGGGCAGGAGGCAAGGCCCCGCGTTGTAATGTTCCAACCTGGACATCGATTCCATACTCGCTGCTACTCAATTGATATCCCTACGAGAGAGAGAAGGAGCGAGGCTCTACCTGGGTAAACAACAACAACCACCACAACAACAACCACGATGTGAACTTCTCACCTCGGATCTCAGTGAGCGCAGGCGCGCGGATCGGCAGCTTCCTGGTATCTCGTGACGTCACGCGGCAGCAGGAGGTGACATGACGTCACTAGAGGTGTACAACACACTCCCATACCCAATGTGCGGCGATACAACGTAATAAATTATGTTAATGAACTAGGCCATAAGTGAGTGAATACCTTGGTGACATGACGTCACTATTGGGTTACACCTCCCCCTCGCGTCTCACTGTGTGTACTGTGTGTGTACAAACTGTGTATACACTGTGTGTGTACTGTGTGTGTATGTGTACAAACTGTGTGTACTGTGTGTGTACAAACTGTGTATACACTGTGTGTGAATGTGTACAAACTGTGTTGTGTGTGTGTACAAACTGTGTATACACTGTGTGTGTACTGTGTGTGCATGTGTACAAACTGTATACACTGTGTGTACTGTGTGTGTGTACAAACTGTGTGTACTGTGTGTGTACAAACTGTATACACTGTGTGCACTGTGTGTGCATGTGTACAAACTGTATACACTGTGTGTACTGTGTGTGTGTACAAACTGTATACACTGTGTGCACTGTGTGTGTGTGTACAAACTGTATACACTGTGTGTGTACTGTGTGTGCATGTGTACAAACTGTATACACTGTGTGTACTGTGTGTGTACAAACTGTATACACTGTGTGCACTGTGTGTGTGTGTACAAACTGTATACACTGTGTGCACTGTGTGTGTATGTGTACACACTGTGTATACTGTGTGTGTACAAACTGTGTATACACTGTGTGTACTGTGTGTGTATGTGTACAAACTGTATACACTGTGTGTACTGTGTGTGTGTGTACAAACTGTATACACTGTGTGCACTGTGTGTGTGTACAAACTGTATACACTGTGTGTACTGTGTGTGTGTACAAACTGTGTGTTCTGTGTGTGTACAAACTGTGTATACACTGTGTGTGCACTGTGTGTGTACAAACTGTGTATACACTGTGTGTACTGTGTGTGTATGTGTACAAACTGTGTACTGTGTGTGTGTACAAACTGTGTATACACTGTGTGTGTACTGTGTGTGTATGTGTACAAACTGTGTATACACTGTGTGTACTGTGTGTATGTATGTGTACAAACTGTGTATACTGCGTGTGTGTACAAACTGTGTATACACTGTGTGTGTACTGTGTGTGTATGTGTACAAACTGTATACACTGTGTGTACTGTGTGTGTATGTGTGTACAAACTGTGTATACTGTGTGTGTGCACAAACTGTGTATACACTGTGTGTGTACTGTGTGTGTATGTGTACAAACTGTGTGTACTGTGTGTGTATGTGTACAAACTGTGTATACACTGTGTGCACTGTGTGTGTGTACAAACTGTATACACTGTGTGCACTGTGTGTATGTACAAACTGTATACACTGTGTGTACTGTGTGTGTGTGTGTACAAACTGTATACACTGTGTGTAGTGTGTGTGTGTACAAACTGTATACACTGTGTGCACTGTGTGTGTGTACAAACTGTATACACTGTGTGTACTGTGTGTGTATGTGTGTACAAACTGTATACACTGTGTGTACTGTATGTGTGTACAAACTGTATACACTGTGTGCACTGTGTGTGTGTATGTGTACAAACTGTGTATATGTCGGGGAGGCTGCCCCCCGTCTCCCCGTTCTCCTGCGACCCCCCGCCCTCCGACTCTCCCCCCCTCGCTGCTTCACCTCGTGGCATGATTTAAATGGCTGTACTATCCACCTTGCGAATACGCCGCTGTGCCCCTCCCGTACACGCTAACCACGAGCTGCGCAGTGGCGTGAGCACCCACGCGGGCAAAATACACGCTCGTGCGAAAACGCAAAAAAACACAACGAATAGGCTCACAACACCATGCACCCCCCTCCGTACTCGCAGAGACAACACAATAAGGTTTAATGTCTACTGGCAATTTATTCCTCGATTAATGAAGCCAACCTACCTGGTCAGTGTGGACCAGCAGGGCAGATCTAACTTATCTCTCTACAGCCTAGGACCCAATTTGTCCCGTCTCTCCCTACTCACTCTCCTTAACAGATATTCCCTCTTGGCCTTACCTCTCTACTCCATACTTACGATCCGCTCTCGAGGTGCAGGTAGTCGCGGAGAGGCGAGGCTGCACGTGGCTTTGGCTGGGAACTGGACCTGGCTGCTTTGCGACCCGTCTCACGGACGTTCGAGTAGCAGGGGACGTCAACTCCTTGGTCCCTCACTCCAGCAGACCCCGAACACAAAGAGAGCTTGCGTCTGATTTCCCGCCCTTGGCCAATCAGGTCAGCCCCCCTCTCCGACGCCCGCTACACCGCACGCTGGCACGGCTCCCACGGAGCGGCTTCGCTGTCGTGGCACCACATAGCACCCCGAGGTGCCAGTCCCCGTCCCGGGTTGACTGGGGCACTTCTCCTGGGTTGCCCCCACGAGGTAGCGCTGCGGGGTCCGCGGGACTCGCCCAGTCCTCGTGGCCGGCCTCGGGGGTGGTGGCTCCATCTCCCGGGGTTCCGGCGGCGGTCTCCTCCTCCACTCCAACGGTTCTCCTCGGCCCTCGGCACCTGCGGGCTGGGGGACGAACTCAGAGGCGGCAGGGTTTAAGGGTCGTCGTCCCCGTCCCCCCGGCTCGGGCCGGGACCCCTCGGGGCCGGGGCCCCGTGGGGCCCATATACCGTGCGAGGCCCCCGAGTATGGGGGGTGTGGGGACCCCGGGATTTCGGGGTACTCGAACGGCAGGGTTCCCTCCCACTGGAGCTGCTCACATGGTTTTAGTCGGTGGACGTTGACCACCATCTCCCGGCCCTTCTCTCCTCCCTGAATCAGCACCGTCCGGGGGAGATCTGTCGTCCCACGGTCCAGGGTCCCCGCCAGCAGGTGGTCAGTTTCCCCACCTGTCCGGCCCCGACGCGAGGAGTGTGCAGCCACACTTTAGAGCCCGCCGAGTAGAAGGGGGGCTCCATACGGGGTCGGGCGCTCTGCTCTTGCCGCTGGTGCGCGGCCTCTCCTTGCGAGTAGGCCCAGTCCCGGGCCCCTCGCAGAGTCTCCATCAGGTGCTCCACGGGGCGGCTCCCCTCCTCCCGTTGTGGCAGGGTGACACCGAACAGCAGATCTGCGGGTAGACGAGACTCACGGCCAAACATCATTAGGAACGGGTTCTGTCCCGTAGACGTGTGTACTGTGGTGGTGTAGGCGAACAGGGCGTAGGGGAGGTGTTCATCCCAGTCCTGCTGATTTGCGGCCGCCATGCGTTTGAGCTTCCCGGCTAGAGTATGGTTCATCCGCTCCACCATACCCTTCGCCTGGGGATGGTACTGTGGGGGCTACCGTCCCCCGCCACCACCCAATTGTCGGGGCCGTTGCCCCCCGACTCCTCCGTTCCATTCATACCACTACCCCCCGGCTGTTCTGTGGGGTCCGGGCTACCAACCCCCAATTCTTCGCCCCCTTGCGCCCCCGACTTTGCGGCTGCCCGCGTAAGCATGTTTCAATTGGTGGCTCATACGCTTTGCGCTTGCGGCGCGCTACGTGAGATCGGCGGCATGCTGCGGTGAGCGTGCTCGCGAAGCAAGACTCCGTCCCGCACGGACACAGATGGGTATAGCGCGCCGACGCGTGAATCTGCTCCGGTTTGAAGGGCCGTTTAAACCGCCGCGCATATACGCACACACCCATCGCTTAGCTCGCTACCTCGCTATAGACAACCGCGCAGGTACGCGACCGCAAAACAGTCGCACAGGTACGCGAGCGCTATGCACTACCATAAACAGCTGCGTAGGCATGCGCACGCTAAGCACTCCGCCTCGTTGTAAACAACCACGCAGGTACGCGAACACAAGCACGCTCCACCCTCCTCTTCACACTTACAGAGATCACACGATGCAGTTTATCCCCCCGCTAGCTATTTTATTTACCATGAGTCACCCGTTAAACTACGCGTGATTGTGTGGGTCAGTGGATGCCAGCCTATTCCCCTTGGGATCCTAGACTGAATTTACTCTGCCTATCGCCCCGCTTTCTACCCTCGGTAAAATAGCCCAAGCTTACCTCTCCTCTACTTACGCTTATTCCTACCCTGATGCGCTGGAAGCTGTTGAAGGGCGATGCGGTGGGTCGTCTCCGTAGAGGGTTGAGCCTGGCTGCGCTGAAGCTCGTCACACGGATGACTCGACGGCTGACTCCAATGCTCCGTGGACCACGATGATTTGAAGAACTCCTCTCCACTGCTCCCAGCCTCCGCATTTTATCCACCCTAAAGGCATTCCGTTGCTCTCGCGCTTGCTCACCCGTGCCCCTTTCATTTTCGGGTCTATAATCCCACCTATAACAAACGGCATTCAGATGCTTCCGCACCCGTGCCATCATGTCAATTCAGAGGTCTGGCTATTCCTGTCCCTTTGTTATCTAGATCCCTAATCCTACCTATAACAAAGGCGTCTCGCTGTTCCCACACTCCGTGCCATGTGTGTGATCTCATCCGCGGTGGCTTTACAGCCCCTGCCGTGACTATGTAATTATAATATCAAGCCACGGGGCCGCGGTGCTGGTCAGCCTCAGTGGTAGGTTGCCCAATTCCCTGGCCGCAGGAAACCATGAAGCTCGATCCCATTAGGAGCTTCTGGATGAAAACCTGTTGGCCAGGTGACCCAGCCCGGGCCCTATGTGGGGCATGCGTGTGCGGGGTTGTGCTTGTATTCATGTGGGGGGGGGGGGGGGGGGGGGGGACACGGCGAGAGCGCGCAGCGTCGGCGTCGTCACTCCCCAGTGGCGGCGTTACGGCGGCCCCGATGGAGCGGCTCCGCTGCGTCGGCACTACAGTACGCCGTGGTTCGGTCCTTCTTGATTCCGAACTCGCGGCACAGCGCCTGGAACAGCTCGTGCCTCAAACTCACTACTTTGGTCGGTAATGACCCGTTCGGGGATCCCGTGCTTAAGTATGTAGTGCTCCACGAACGCTCGGGCTACCACGAGGGCCGTCTTATCGGGGATGGCCACCACTACGGGATAGCGTGTGAAGTACTCTACCGCTACGAGAATATATTGGTTGCCCCGCTGGGATCGCGGGAATGGCCTTTGCAGGTCGATCCCAACCA